CCCCCCCCCAGATAGGTCTCTGGATCCGCCACTGTAATTATAGTTGAACTAACTATATTCCGGGCATCATAATAGTTTGGTCGAAATACTTAGTCAACGTCAAGAAAATTGCAGCTATTGTTTTATACATCCTGGATGTCTATATCGTAACAGTAAAACACTTAACGAAAATCATTGAGTCAGCCATGGGTGACCGGTTATGCTCCTTTGGCAAACAATAATGAAAACTGTAATCATCAATCTAATTATTTTGCAAATTTATTATGGGAATGTAGACTATGTTTTAAAAATACCAACACAATACGTATTGCATACACAGCAAGATAGGGTTTATTTCATTGCTGAAATATTGTAACCTCAATATTTAGTAAAACTATTTTGCATTAAGAGACATTGAGTTGTGTTGAATTTTTAGATACCGTTGCTACTGTATCTGCCGCTTACCTCGACCTTTGCTTACAATATGAGCACGGTATTTACATGTCGCAGTTTATTTGATATTGAAGAGCTTGCTATGCATATTTTGATTTCCATGATCTGTCTATCTATATGTTATACCGGGATGTGTAGTGGAGGGATTTGCAACTCCGATTCAAGTGGCGAACACTTATCGTCGCTTTTGTGTTTGTTCACTGGACCGTGGTTATACCCAACAGTTGGGATTGATGCTTTAAATACCTCTATTCCTTGAGTCCCGATTGTGTTGTCGTCTAGATGGTTCCAGTCTATGGTTGCTCGAAAAAGAATGATCGGGATTCTGTATTGTTTCGTGTTGCTGTTGGGCAGTATGACTGCTCTGTTATTGTTCCTGATGTCGTCTAGATGGTTCCAGTCTATGGTTGCTCGAAAAAGAATGATCTACTGGTTCTCAGAAGCAGTACATACACTACTACAGACATTTACTACTGGTTCTCAGAAGTAGTATATAATAATCCACTACTCCTTACATAACGATACGCAAGTTTGAGAAAAGAACGGGTTTGTTCGAGTGATAAGATCAGTCGCTGTCGGCTTAACGGTGTCATACAGGTGAGTGAGGTGGGGCTCTGTTTACCTGAAACAGTGAGGGTGCCAGTCATAATTCAATGCCTCCACGTACGATTCTTCGTCAATATTCTGCGAGCATCCAGCACAGGTATGGTCCCTTTCTGCAAGAGAAAAATACACTCTATGGAAACATTATTTCCAAAATGCTATATGCCTGGTAAATGCAGGTAGTCATAAAATTATACTTGCCTGTGGAAACATCTTCCGACATTTCCCGATCTTCAGCCAAACATTTTCTACCTCTGGTGAGAGAAGAGTTCTCTGAACATTGAAGCAACGACGAGTTATGTCCCTTTTGTAATACACTAGTGAGCCTGTTCGTTTCATGCGGAACAACCGGTTTATCCATGTTTAAATGTAACAATTTCGGACCTGCAAATGTTTATGCAGACCTTCTAAATGGTACTGACCAACTTCAACAATTTGAAGATAAAAGACCTTGCAAGGCTTTGTCAAGGCTCGCCTGAAAGCATCATCAGATTACCACAACATTGCTATTGCTGACAAATTAAACTTGACAAAGTCTGCTGTTCGGGAGTAAAATGGGACAAAAACGAACCAAAAATTGTAACACAAAAATGTACAGCGGTACAGAAACGATGTATTATAAATCTTCTGAGGGTGACTGGCCCCCGTCGACCATTAATCTTGTAGATATGGGAGAACTTATTAAGTTGGATAATTACAGTGGCGGATCCAGAGGTTTTTTTTGGGCTTCAGGAACACACACACACACACACACACACACACACACACCCCCGAGAACTTTCTTGAAAAATCATATATTTTCACAATTTTCCTCAATTTTCCCAACATGGAACA